GCAGGAGGAGTCCTCGATATGGCGCCGCCGCCATTAGACCTCATCGGCGTCCAAATACCTTACCACTTCCGATGCCCAATTTCTCTAGAGCTGATGCGAGATCCAGTAACAGTATGCACCGGACAGACCTACGATCGTTCCAGCATCGAATCATGGTTTGCGATGGGAAATATCACATGCCCCGTCACCCGCTCCCCTCTAAGCGACTTCACCCTCATCCCCAACCACACCCTCCGCCGCTTAATCCAGGAATGGTGCGTCGCCCACCGCTCCCATGGCGTGGAACGAATCCCCACCCCGAAACAACCCGCAGACCCCACCCTTGTCCACCTCCTCCTCACCCAAGCCTCCGCCGCCGATAAGTCTTCGACGACAACCCGTATCGAAGCGCTCCGCCGCCTCCGTGCTCTGGCCTGCGAGTCGGAGAAGAATCGCGCGGTGGTGTCTACTTACTCGCGCTCGGGAATTGTCGAGATGGCGTTCGGCGCGGATCTTGATTTGGCGGTTGAGGCGATGGAGGTGTTGGCGGTGGTGGCTGTTACTGAAAGGGAGAGCGCGATGGTGGCGGGGAGGCCGGAGAGGGTGGCGAGGCTGGCGGCGATGATTGGACTGGAGAGATCGGCGGAAGCGCGAATCGGAGCGGCTGCATTGGTGGAGGCGATGAGGACGGCGGAGGCGAGGGGAGCGGTTGGGGGAGCTGATGGGGTGATTGAAGGACTGGTTGCGCTGGTGGAGAAGGGGGATTCGCGGGAGGTGAGAGCTGGTATGCGGGGATTGTTCTCGCTCTGCTTGGCGAAGGAGAACAGGGGAAGGGCGGTGATGGAGGGAGTGGCGGAAGCGGTGGTGAGGAGGTTGGGGGAAATGTGCTGCGCGGAGAGAGGGGATTTGGAGCGGGGGCTTGCGACGGTGGAGCTGTTATGTAGGGTGGAAGGGGGAAGGGAAGCGGTGGTGGGAGTGGAGGGAGCGGTGGGGGCGTTGGTGAGGGCGATGGAGGGGAAGGCGACGGAGAGGGCGGCGGAGCATGCGGCGGGGGCGGTGGTGGCGGGGGGGGGGGGGGTGGGGGGGGGGGGGGGAGGGGGGAGGGGGCGGTCGTCACGCATCTGCTGTTAATGGTGCAGAGTGGGTGTTCAGAGAGGGCGAGGAGGAAGGCACAGATGCTGCTTAAGATACTCAGGCCGGCATGGCCGATGCAGGATTTGTTCTCGAATTCTGATGACTTTCTCCGACCTATATGAATTTAGGGTTGGGTTGTGTTGTGTTGCGTTTTGTGTTGTGTCATCTACAATTTGGATGATAATTGTATTTAGTTTCAGTTAGAACTTGAAACAATTTCTTTTGAGAGGTTAAGATTTGATCTGACAAATTCTTTTTTTTTTTTTTTTGTTTGTTTGAAATGTTCGATTGAATTTTAGTGTTTCAAGAGAAATTGTACATTTTGGATTGACTAATTTCACATTTATTATAAAGGATATGAACACTCTAATTACGCACTAGGGAAAGGCTGAGGCTAAGCTGTCTGTTCGTGATTATATCTTTATCAACTGTTTTTCTATAGAAGATTACAGTATTGACAGACGATTTTTTTTTATTATTATTGGTTAGCATTGGTGCTGAAAAATTTAATAAGATTTCAGGTATGAAATGTTTTCTACATCCATTTTGGTGTAAATCTGCCTAGCCAGCTCGAACTTAACTTGTTAATGAGCTCATGAGTCAAGCTTATCGAACCACAAGCTTGAGCTTGAGCTTGTTTATTAATGAGCTCCAGCTCTAGCTTGTTTATTGATTGAGCTCTAGCTTGAGCTTGTCCTGACTCAATTCATTGGCTTGCGAGCTGGTTTGATTAGTACTTCACTAATTATGTTGATGAATGTTTGCCATTAGATAGAATTATCTCTATAAAAGAAGATTATAAATTCGCATATTATTTTGCCATATATTTATTTTCATATATATGCTTTTTTTTATCTTATATATGTATGTATGCATGCTAATTGATATCAATATATGTTAAAATATTGTACAATAAAGATATTTTGTGTTGGATCTTCCACTTATCATATGACTCTGAGCGTAGCACACGTCAATGAGAATAAAGAAAGAAAAATGGAGAATAATTGAGCGATAATAGTCAACCGACTTGAGACTGATTGCTGATTGAGCGGTCAACTAAGAGTCAACAAACTCAAAAACGGGCTGAACCATACTTGATTGGCTTGAAGACCACTCAGGTGGAAGCCCACCTGCAAATGACCTATCAGATATTCATCAATTACATGGCATGAAACCGATTGATTGGAGGTCAATCGTTTAAAGAGGATCAGGTGTGTGATTGTCATTTCATAATAAACATATTCCTTTCTAAATAAGTAAATATTAAATATAATAGAGGTTATTAAAATTACATATTAAATAATATCATTCCTCTCTCATCCCTCTTTATAACAGTCTATTTGGTGCGGCTTATATGTCGTGGTGCGGATCAAAAATGCAACATGAAGCATTTGAAAATTGTGGTGTGGTCGTGTTTATGTGAAAGCCATTTGAAACGCAGATCGCGGGTTCGATCCCGTGATCCATGTTTCTTCACGATATGTTTATACCTACCCTCTCTCAAGCCTCTCTCCCATTTTCGTCTCTCGTAATTGTTGTCGTACCCTCTCTCCCCTCTTTCATCTCTCACAATTTTTTCCTTAAACTCACATAGGATCCTTTGATCCTCTTCGATCCAGGGTTAGAGTTTGGTTCCTTTCTCTTCTCTTCTTCCTCTCCCCTCTGTTCTTCAGTGTGTTCTGGATCATTGGTTGGTGATTGTTGCAGTGAGCTTGCCTTTCCCAGTACATCTCCCTTTCCTCTCTGATCTACGGCTGGATTTGGATCATTTACTTTTTTTTTTTCCCCCACAGTATTTTCTACAACCTTCTATTGAGGCATTTTGATTTATGGTTGAAATTTTTGGCTCTTTATTGTGTTATGATGTTTTCAGTTTGTTTTGTTATGATGCTGGAATTTGGGATTTCTCAGGGTTAGCTATGCATATAATGTTGGAATTTGGGCTTTCAGTTCTCTATGTTTTATCTGGTTAGTTTGTGTTGTTAGATTTTGCAATTTTATTGGGTTCTCTATTATACTTTCGATTTGATTGTCTTTCTTCCTTTTTCAATGTTCAGTTGATGGATTTGGATAATTGTGTTGTGATGTTGGTTGTTGCCCGAAATTTGGTGGAGATGGTGATAGAATGTAAAATTTAATTGAAATACAAATGAGTTATGTGGTAGTGCTAGACTACCCTTGTTGATGGAAATAGTGATTGTGGTCGTTTCTTAAAATGATGGATCGGGATGTGTCGATATGGATGAGGTGGTGTGTGGTAGAGAGGTGGTGTGGTATGGATGTGATGGTATGTCTTGTCAAGCTGATGATGTGTCGATGTGTGGTATGGAGGTGGTGTTGTAGGGTGGTGTGTGTTATCAAGGTGGTGATTTGTTGGTGTCTGGTATAGATAATGTAGGTGTGATGTGGATGTGGTGGTGTAGGGCGTGGAGGTGGTAATGTGTGGTGTGGAGGTGGTGTGCAAGTTCTTAAGAGTGTAGGGTGGTGATGATATTATGGCATTATTATTTCTCTTTGAGTTGGGTAAATATGTTTTTATGACAAATATTTTTGTTGATTAATTATTTTCATGCTAGTAATACAATATTTAAGTCAAAAAAAAGTTGTTAATTTGCTAAGTGGGATAGATATACAAAAATAAAATTTTTCGGATTTTTGCCTCAAGGAGGTTGAATTGAGAAATAGGCCAACAACCTATTTCAACAAGGAGATCTGAAAAAATATTATCAAAAAATTAAAAAAAAAGTATAGGCAAGGAGTATGATAAAATGCAATTTAAAAATAAATGGGATCAACTATGAAAAAAAATGAAGCGGTGATCAACGGGCTTGGGATGAGATCCGATAAATGAACAATTGATGTTTCAGAGGAATGATGAGTAGAGAGACTACAGGTGAGCATTTATGGAATATCCACAGTTTTTATCAAATTTTCAATTCAAATGCATCAACATATCCTATGACTTTGTCGATGGTGCTAGCTGCAAAAAAAATTATAGTGGCATTGATCCTAAGTTGGAAGAGAAGTTATAATGTATGTTTGGTGGTGTCGTGGCAATGAGTAATAATGCATGCACTCTTAGTGAGGTAGGGTTTGGTAGCATTGCTAAAAACATGGATGTTGAACAAACAGGTGATTCCAATGAAGGTCATAGCCTGAACCTCAATGAAATTGAATCCACTAGCCAATCAATGAGTCTAAGGGTTGAGAAAAAGAAAAAGAGGGTGTTGCTTTCATCAGAAGCCAGATTTCACAGTTGGTGGCATCATGCACCAATGACTATGACCCATAACAAGCAACATCCATTCATCATGTTATGCAAATTCTTGAGGCAACTCCAGAAATTTATAAGAATATGTCGTTCTATTTGTTCTTTATGAAGTTACATGAAGACCCGACCCAGAGAGTTTTTCATGATGATGACCCCTAGCCAAAGGGTGCATTATTTACATTATTTTCATGCGAACGGGAACACTTAAGGGACACTTGAATTTCATTGTATTCTAGTTGAACATTTTATATTTGCTTTTTGATGAGTCGTTGTCCATATTGCTTTGGATTTTTATTTTTCATTGAAATGTTGTTAATGCTTGTTTGCATATCGATTTTTCATCGTTATGTTTTGTATTTACTTCTCCAATTTTATTTGCATGTGGTGTTTGTTTATACAATTATATGATAATAGCTAAATTGGTGATTCTATGTGTTAGCTACATGGATGCAAATAGAGAAAGATGAAGAAGAATTATAGCTGTAATGTGCTTGATGTATGAGCATTATAACTCATACATAACACGCTCTCCTTGCATGACATCCTAGTGCATTGGTGACAAGTAGTTTGAGGAGTTGCTTGCAGGCCACCCAACAAGATTACAAGTAATGTATATTTATTTTCCTTATGCATGTATTCTTTACTACTTAGACGGTCGATGAGGCAACCACAAATAATAAATGTAATCTAAATATTGCACTTTCTTTTGGTTTTGGAGTTCTATGATGAGACATTCAATCTTAAAGGTTCTTTTGGATGGCCTATATGTCACTATTGGTTCTTGTTCCATCTGAAATCCCAATGAAAGCAGCCAAGCTCCTCAATTTTTTTGAGTGCTATGGTTTTTAAGGTTTTTGATCGGTCTTTTTTTGGTGATATCCATATGTGACACACACGAGTTCAGTATTACGTGAGTTAAAGTCAACCAAAAACCTTTTCTTATAAGGTCTGGTTTCTTCTTGTAGTGATAGATTCATTGGTTTATATACTGTATTATCTAAGTCCTCATAATTGCATAAAACTTTAATAGATCACTTATATTGCTAAATTTTACTAATGTTATATGTAAAGGTGTGTGTTTTGTGTTTTTGAGCCTTCAGGAAACATGAGCTCAATGATTTCGAGTACCTCTAGGGTGTTGTGCTACTACTGCGAACTACAATGTTCCCTACTTACTTTATAATAGCCACATAGCTATGAGAGACAATTTTACATGTGTCTAAGGAGAAGAACAGAAAACTGAGACTTCTTTAGGTAGGTAGATGGGTTGAATGATTCCATCACTGAGAATGATCGGGTGTGGAGAGTTTCCCTGGAGGATAGCTTATCTTGGGATATATGTTGACTGCATTTTAAACATACTATTATCTTTATATAAATTGTTATTTTAATGGTTCTTTTTTTACTTTTGATAGTCGTGGTAGTTACTATTTAATGAGGTTTCTTATTTTATTTTGTAATGTTCGAATTAGATAATTGCTTTCAAGTAGGGCTGTAAATGAGCCGAGCCTGAGCGAGCTCAGGTTGGGCTCTTGTTCGACTCGTACGAAATTGGCTCATGTTCGAAATAGCTCGGCGCTTGTTCGGCTCGTACGAAATTGGCTCATGTTCGAAATAGCTCGTGAACAGTGTGTTCGTGTTCGGCTCGGATACTATTTTTCTGTTCGTGTTCAGCTCGTGTTCGGCTTGAAATTTACCCGTTAGAATATAAAATTATTTTCTTAATTTTTATTTTAAGAAAATTAATTAATAATTTTATATAAAAATTTTTCAAGAGCAAATTTTATACAATAGTTCATTACATTTTATATCTAAAAAAAATTGATTGGCTAAAAAAAATTACAAGAGCAAACTGAATACAAAATTTGACACAATAAGAATATTAATATTATTTTCAAAAAATTTACAAAATAAAAACCAATTTATTACAAATTTTATACTTTACAAACAAAAAAAGAGGACAA